CTGGTGTGGGAGACAGCACCTCTTTTGGTCACTTTGGCATTTGCCACACTGCCCAGCAGTAACCTGGTGGCATTAATGTACCTGAGCGGTTCCCATTAAAAGCTCGGGGTTCCTTGCACACCTAAAATCTGGCATGTGCTTAAAAGTTGTTGAAACCACATCTTCATTGGGTTTCATTTTTAACTGTATAGTTTAGGGGAATCATCTGTATTATCAGCGTTAATCACATGAAGTTCTGTTTTGAAAATACGACTCACTAGTGGATAAGAGTTTTCCCAAATTGCTTAAAAGATTAATTAAATAATCAACTTAGCAGAGGCAAAAAAAAAACCCCACCCAAACCAAACAACAAACGAACCACAAACTATTCCTATAAAGAAATCACTTTATTGCCTATACATGTGGATGAGCTGTTCTAATACTCAGGTTCACTGCCTCCTCTGCATTTAATCTCTTCTTTTATGTCCTACTCTGATTTTTTTTTTCTAAAGACTTTCAGGCTTTTTTAAAATTAATTATACAAATCATTAGTATTAAAAAGGTAATATAATGGTTTCAAGAACAAGCTTCACAGACTATCTGCATATTTAATCATCTCTGCTAATAAATTTTTAATCACTCATTGAGTTCAGGTTCTTGTCTTGAAGCTTAACTTGATAACAAACCTAGCAACTGGTAGAACTAATTGGTACAGAGTAAGTGAATAATTTATAAGAGGAAAAAGCACTGGGTGTTCTGGAGGTGTGCAGGGACCACAAGTCACAGATATTTCTGGGAGGAAGCAGGAAAACAGCGGCTGATTACAGGAATTTCATGATACACTGCTGACATCCAGAGGCCAACAGTCAATACTGTTCACATATGTGAACCAGGCTGTAAAGCACACTGTAAAGCCAGATTCATTAAGTTTTAAATATTCATGCATTTCATTAAAGTTAACATTAATTGCACTACCATACACATTGATTATGCATAGACTATAAGTGTTTAACCTCTGAAAGTTTGCAAGTATATTCAAGTAATGGGATATGTCCCATCTTCGATGATTTTGGTGAAAGCTTCAGCTATAAAGTTGAAATTAGAAATGGAATGCATTACAGTGCTCAGGAATAGTACTTTTAAACATCAGAACAGTAATAAAAATAATTATTTTACTAACCAAACAGAAATGCTGATGTAAGCTGTTAAGTGGCTTTGTATTTTTCTAAAGTAAAGTAATAGAGGTAATAAAAATTATATATAAGATTTTTTTATTGACAAATGTTAGACTGATTTGCAAGCTACATGTATTTAAATAGTTTTAAACAGTTAAAAAAATAATTGGTGGCTGAGTGGCTTCTATTTAGCTGAAGATGACTAGCTTTAAACAATGTAACAACAAAAAAAGGCTATTCTCTTGAAATAAGCTGATTTATGTCTTAAAGTTAGACACCCAAACCCACTTATACTACAGAATAATTCTACCCTCAGGGAAGCACAACATGCTACAATTCTTAAACCAGGATGGAACAGATAACATTTGACAGAAATTCAATTATCCTTGAAAGATCCCACTTGTAGTTAGTTACATACATAATCCTCTTTTATTTAATGGGTTAAAGCTCTCTCTCAAAACATTTAGTTTGATGAACTGAAGACTTGCTGCATGTCAAAAAATTCATTAAGTGACTTAATAAGATTGTTAAGTAAAAACACTCAGAAGTTAAAAAATGTCATTTAATGCTGCCCATGCAACCTTAATTCTGGCCATGTATGCATATGCATTATGAAACACCAGTGAATTAACTTTTAATCTCCTTTGAGCCAAAAAGATTTTAAGATTGGACACTAAGGCACAAAGGGCATGCCAACAAATACAATGCTGAGCTTTAGAGCAATCTCTGGACTAGCTCACAGCTTGCAGAGCGTACCCCTGCAGGGCTAATTACCCCCGATAGAAAAGATGGGCTTGTACAGCTACACTGCTTCTGGTACCTCTGCATGGTAAGCTTAGTTCTCTCTTCCTGGCACTGCACTACACAGATACACTCACAGAAGTATAAAATTTAAAATATGAAGGAAGTATGAATTGTTTTTCAAATATCATGCTTCAAACCTAGGTGCTTTGACACTGATTTTCCACCAAGAAATTTGTCTGTAGACTCTGACCTCCTCGAAGTAAAGACAAACACATATGTATTTTTAAAAGCCCTCTGCACACAATACCAATTTCAATTATAATTTTTTTTTAAATCAGTCTTTAAATCCTCTATGAGGTTGATATTAAGTTGTCCACATTTTGTAGAGAAGCAAACCATTGGAGACAGATAGAGTGGTTTGCCCAAAATTGTACTGATTTCTCCCTGAGCTGTTAACAACTCCAGGTTAGCCAATTTTCTTTGTGAAGGTGGGCACTGAAGTGTAGTATTCCTAACTAGAAGTCACAGTTAACATACTGAAATCCTGTTTAAATAGCATCTCCTACACCCTTAAATAACTATAGTCAGACATATACTGGGTGGTATCATAAAAAAACTTGCCATTTTTCTGACAAGAAAATACTGGTTGCTAGCAAGGATCTTGCAAGTCATGTATCAACCACCTGTACTATTCAGCATGCTTTAAAGTAGTCTGGGATAACAAATGGTTTTGTTTTGTTTGGATTTTTCAGGGGGGTGTGGGGTTTTTTTTTTGGTTTTACACATTTAAGACTACTTCCTTCATGCCTCTTCCTTCAGTAATATTTAAACAAGGAGGTAGCCTGTTAAGTCATTTAAACACCAAACTAGATTTTACTAGTTTTACTGGTTTGGTTTTTATGGCATAGTCATGAACAACCATACAGCTCAGGAAAGCTACACACAATTGTAAAAAGAAGATTTTGTATTCTCAGTGAGATTTCAGTTTAGATTTTAATTGAGAGAGCTGTAAAAATGCAGGAGACACCACTTTACAGAGGAAGAATGCTTTGAATACTTCCCAGTCAGAAACTTTCCCATGTCCAAAAACCATGCTCATTAAGCAATACTTAATTTTACTTTTTTTTTTTTTAATGTTGGGGTTTTTTTTCCATTTCACTTGTGAAACAAAACAGAAAAAACAGGCAAAGATTCTTGATGGCTGATATCTCTCCACCACATGACATAATCCCCACATTCTCCTTCTTCTGATAGGCCCAAAGCTGACAGGTGTCTCACTCACCAAGCAGTTAGTTTCTCTATCAAGCATGCTACCAAATACATAAATAAAAATAAAAATTATGGCAAGCTTTCACCAAGTAGAAATGAACTACAGTAGACAATTCACTTGCCAGAAGATTATAAAAAAACCCAAGATGCAGAGGAGAATGTTTCTCCTTATTCTATACCAACCTCTGAAATAACACTAGGTCTGAGAAGTAATCACATTAAATTAAATCTGAAGAGGGTTTAATTAAAACTATATTTTTGTAATTACAATCTGAAATTGTATTTGAGGTTTAAGAGTTAAATTTATTAGACTATATAGATTTTTACAAGGTATTCCTAATATAATGAGCTTAGACAATACATATGTTGCATTTTTGGTACACGTTATGAAAAGTTGCTTTTTTAATGAGCTTTAAAAACTGCATTTGCATACCAGAGGAAAAGGTCAGTGATGTGTGGATCAAGTCAGTAAATTAAGTATCATAGTATTATGTTATTATGATTGCCTTTCACAGACACACGATATCAAAACCATAGGCTATAGTTACCATACTATTCTAATGTTTCCATCTACATGACCTTGTTGGCTTATGCACACTGGCGATGCTGTGCCTTGGGTCCCATCTTGCTCCCTCCCTTGCCCAGACCTCCTTCACCACCTCTCCCAACCAATTCCTACAGCAGAACAGCTGGTATCTCTGACAGTCAGAAAATCAAAGCAAGCGCAGGAAGGGCCGGATTCAGTGTGATGGTCCATGTCCAAGCACTACCTTGCACTCCAGCTTTTAGCCCAAGTAAAGCTGCCAGGTCCTGAACCCTCAGCCCTCAAAGGTCAAACTTATTGGACAGCAAAGCATCAGGACAGAGACGCCTCTTTCAATCCAAGCCCCATTCCACTCGAGTCTTTGTTCAAAGATGCAGCATCATCTCTTTCAAAACACAGACACCAAAAGTATTTCTAATGCTATAGTCCAAAATTTGACTCAGTCTACTGTAACAGTTATTTAAGTTGGAATATTAGATGTTTGGTAATCTCTAAAGACTGGCTGACTGAATATTGAAATTTCTATTCTGTGATGAATAATAAAATAAGCCAGGAACTGACTGCAAATACACTCTCACCAAGTTTTCAACAGAGTAAAGTCCACTGGATTTACTTTTATTTGTAAGTATTGTAAATATTTGTAAATACTGTAAATTTGTACATATTGTAACATTACGTTTATTTTTGAGGGACAATTGAAGTTGATTTCCCCACCAACTCTGCAATAATCCACAGTACTTAACAGGTCTCTCTTTCTCTCTCTTTGTGTTAGAGACTGTAGGTATACACTAAACCATGTTATGCACTACGTGATACTTTATGCATGTTTATACATATCACAGCTAAGTAAGTGATGCTTCAGCTCTGTATAAAGATGTAGATTTAGTCATTAGCTTAGAGAAAAAAAATCCTTTAAGATATTACAACAGTAATAGCACAACTCAATACAACTAATCAGTTATAAGTAGTTTTAATGATTTTTCACTTTTTGTATATGATAATCCTCAAAGTAGCATTCAAAAATATAGTGCAAAATATTTATTCATTTTATTTACAAATAAAATGTGCAGTTCAGCTTCTTACTCTCACCACAGTATATGTTATTCTTCTACGTGATGAATAGAAATTATGAGAAACATTGGAATAGACAAAAAGTTCATTTTAAACCTAAGAACAAAGATCTTTCCTTCAGTTATATTTTTGTAGAAGTAACACAATACTAGTTTTTTAGAAATTGTTTTCAGTTGGGAAAAAACCCCAAACCAAAGTCCAAGACAATACTAAATAATTACATAGGAAAAGACCATTTTTTTAAAACCATAAAGTAAATTTTGCTGTGACAATCACAATGCAAACTTCTTATCTACATATATTTTTTTGCAGCTAAAACATAGAATCATTACAACATAATGCTTTTTCCCTTCTTACTCTACAAATTGCCTTTAGGGGAAAAAGTATTCTAGTATCTTCCTTTCCCTCTGATGAAACAGATGCTTTGGTTAAAGAGCAATTCGTGCGCAATAGTGTTTTAACTTGCAAGGCAGTACTCCTTTATTAAGCTGGTAGAATTCCACTAGCTGGATGAGATCAGTAAATCTGGTATGACCATCATCAAGGGTATAGAATAGCTTCCCATCATCTTCCAACTGTAAAAATGGAAAAACAAGATAGAATAAAATCCTCTTTTGCTATGGTATTTCTACCCAATTGAAATACTTCGAGAAGCCTTCTGGTAGACCCAAGATATTCATAATCTTATGACTATTGAGAGAAGGAAAAATACAGCAATCATTCACAGCAAGATCAAAAAACCCCAGAAAAATAATGTACTCTTTAACTTCCCCTTTAAGTTAGATACATATCTAAAATGAAAGAACAGTTAAATAAGTATAGGAATATTGGTTCTGCACTAACAATATTACTTTATGCCTTTGATTTGGAATGATAACTAGAGTTAATATGAACACTGAGTTTTTACAGAATGACAAGAAACAACCAAGTTCCAACTTCATAGATTTCAACCTTTGCTCCATTCATACTCTGTGTAACTGCTACATTCCTTATCACTTATTTTGTAAGGTGCAATGAGGTTATACACTAGTGCACTGGTGTACTGGATGATATTCGCTATACAAGAAACTGCCCATCATAAAAGTAACGTGTTTGATGTAATAATATATTCTTTGTTGTAGGAGAAAGAACTCCTGCAGCTCCAAACACATGTATTAGACACAGCAGAGAGAGAAGAAACTGCAAAACATACCTTGAAAGATTACTTTTGACTTTTACATGCTTAAAAATTTACCATCAGTATTTCCCTATTCTAGGTTACTGAACATTAGCTCTTGCACAATTTGTACTGCATTGATGACTATACGTTTTCTTGGTTTACTTCCTCTACTGCTAATATGTCTAAGATCGAGGAGCTTCAGTGCAATAGTGACTAATTAGTATTAATGTAAATAGAGGGTAAATAAAAAAAAAAATCTATTTAAACTATTTTAAAAACAAAAAGGAAAAAAAGATACTTTGCAAAATTGAGAGAGTAGTGAACAGAAGATCCTGAAGCAGGGCTAGTGTTGAGTAGCAGATGGTGTGCTAGGTAAAGATGCAAGTACCCTACTTGAGTATAAGGGAAGGGAGAAGATATAATTAGCTCTCTTACCTGTAATTAAGATTTCTCATCTGAAGCAGCTGTTGAACTGCTTATGACTCCTGGTTATTCTACCCCTTTCTACCATGTCTGGAAGTAGTTTGTAATTTCATTATTCTCAGACTTTGGTCAATCCAGGTCAAACACCACTAGTTAAGGAACTACCAATGTGTGTATGTGTAAATTCCTGTGCTCCAGTCAAGAACCTGAAAATGGATTATCATCCATTGGACTTCCCTTATGCATGCAATTTTCCTGCTAATGCACTGAAGACAAGGAAGAGTTGACAATTCAGATGTCTGTTGACCATTATTTCATATTTATCTTATTTCCCCCCCTTCAAATTAATCCCAAACCTTGAAGTGAATACCAGACAGATTGCCGATTCTAAAGCAACCAGTATTTTGCAAAGTAAAAACTCATATCAAAGTTATTCTTCCCAGGAATCTAGCATCTTCTGCAACCTACGAAGGCTGTTATGAGAGAACATTTATTGGGAAAAAACAGTCCCAGAAATGTGTATCTATTTTTCTTCTTTTGCATGGACTACAGAACAGCTAATTTCAGGATAGGCTATGCTGAAGTTAACTTGTAACAGCTCAGAGTAGTAAGGCTGAAAATTACATTTAAGCTATCAAGTTCTTCAATTTTCACAGTATGGGAACCCAAATGTATCCCAAAGGTTTTCTTTTCAACTTTTTACAATCAATTCTCTGCCACCCACCTGCAATACCTGTTGCATATCTTACCAATGTTAACATGATGCACCTGTTAATGAGGGGGAAGCTTGAATTGGCAGGCTGCATGCCCTATCTGAAAGGAGACATTTTTAAATGCAGTATAGCCTGAAGCAACCTAAAATGTGAGAGAAAAATAATTCATTTAAAGACTGAATGATTTGTAACATTTAGTAGGAAAGTTTATCACCTCTTCCCAATGACTGGAAAAAGGCAAGAGTTTAGAAGAATAGTAGGATTTGAAGTTCTAAAACGTAACCTTGTTCTCCAACTAATAAGCTACCAACTTACTGCAGTAACACAAAATGCCTTGTTTCTTAGAAAATGGTAACTTCATTTAGGGCATCAGCAGCAACCAGAAACAAAACCTTTCCCTCCTCAAAAAATTATTTTCTGAACTCCTTAGAGTATTGTTCTAGCAAAAGCAGAGCGTGTGGTTAAGTCTGGGTACTGAGAATGGTATGAGGGGTACTGAATTTGACTGGAAATTAATTGACAGAAAATAACTGAAATATGCCTATGTTTGGAGAACTAACAGTTTCCATATTCTCTCTCTGGATTAAGTTGTTCTCATTACAGATTTATTTTCTTCTGGTAACTAGCACAGGATAAATCGCTTTAATATAAAAACAATTCAAAAAAATTTCCTTCAAGTAAGACAGGCTTTGCACTGAAGTGGTATAGGTCTTCCAGACCATTAGCATGGAAAAACCTAGTCAAATCTGTAGACAATCCATGTCAAAATAAAGAATTCCTCATTCCTCCAAAGATCCTGCAACAGGAGAGGAAGGTTTTAGCATGAGCGTATATGATTAATTTGTAAAATGCACTGCTTACATCTGCAGAAGAACATTAGAACTGACTCAATTTTTTGAAGGAGAGGAGGAAAGTCATCCAGCTCAGAGGAAACTGAAGATAACTACAGCTTCCTGCTACATCTGCTCTTATAGAAGAGAGGGTCTGTTTCCTGACAGAGACAGAAAAAGTGGTCTCTCAAATTTGAGAGTTAAATGACATCTCAATGAAGTAGAATCATAAAGGATTTGTACAGAGTTCAGAAGGTTTTCTAAAGCACACAACAGTTATCCCAAAGTTAACAGAAGCACAGAGATCTTACACCTGGGATTCTGATCACAGAGGACATGCTGATGCTGGCACGAGATCCTGGGTATTGCTATCACTTTTGGATGAAGGCCTCTTCCACTGTTTGTACCTAACACCTGGGCAATTCTTTATTATATCAAAAATCGATTCACTCCTTTCCTCCATCCCAATAATGCTTCAGTTTGACTCTACAGGAACTTTTTTGGGGGGAGGATATCAGCTACAAGCCCTAGGTAAGGCATACAGAAATTCGGTGAATGATCATAGGGAATCACCAGATCAGAAACAAAAAATGCCACTACAATAATTTATACAGAGAAATGCAGAATCTCCTAGAAACTTTGCTAGGAAGAAACATGGAGGCTAGAGTATTACATGGTCTGGAAGAAAGGTTCTTGTGAAGAGAGAGAAAAAACTATAGGGTTGCTCAGTTATGCCAAGTATCTGTGTCTAAAAACATAATGCTGAAGTGTTTCTCATCGCAACAGAAGCAGCCTGTAAAGAAAACTGTATAAACCTGTAAAGAAAACTGTATATTGGAGGGAGTGAAAGGGTTGGGAAAGCTGGCCATTCTGGCAGGAACACTGGATTATATCTTCAATGAAAACTGATGGAAATATGATTTCAATTTAGGAAATTTCAGTTTACCTATAAGTAGCTGAACTGAGTAAGTATATAATTTTTTTTGCTAAAATTGTCCCGCCAAAGAATACCTGGACATGAATACAGTACAGTAACATGACTCAAGAAGAGAGGTCAGCAAAAAATGTTTGACTCCAAATATTGAGAGAAATTATCCTGAACACAAGTCAGTGAGATATATACACACACATGTCATAGGCAGTCCACCTAAACAGACAACTAAATAGAAATTGTGCACATATTGAAAAATGAAAAGGCAATATGACTTTTATTAATGTGATTTTCATGCCATTAGGGTTGCTTCTGTTCCAGTTCAAATACAGTTGTCTATTTTTCCAAGACACTTCTTAGGATTTCATAATACTGGTCAAGCTTTATAACAAATCAAACAGCAAAGCTCAAAAATGTTCAAGTCTCCTCAATACAACCAATTATTTTTAGTTACATAGGTATTATGTTTTCATCTTCCAGATAACAGCAAAAGAAAAAAAATCAGCAATATTCTATCACAATTATTCAATTGTTTTGTTTTACAATTGTGTACATAAACTGAAAAATTTACTTACTGGTACAATTTGAAAATGCTTTATTTTTAATCCATGACTCAATGACAATACAAATGTTTTGGGGTTACTTTGGCTATCGCGTACCAGGAATACCCTAAAAGAGATTGAAAATTTTCACAGTAAGATCACTCAGAAAAGCCTTTTGTAAACATCCAGGTAAAAGTGTTGTAAATTCATTACTGAAGTATTAGTGAAAAGCAAAAATAATGTTAATTACTTAAGTTATGCTTTCAATCAATATTTCTTTGCAAATGTGTCACTTGAAATACTTTTTCTTAAATTCCTCTTCACCTTGTCTATTATGTGAAAAATATGCATTCTCAGAATGAATGACACTGTAGACATTAGTTTTTACACCACACAGAATTACGATGCATCTCTTTAGACAGAAAAGCACCCTCAAAGTTTGTGCTTTGAACAAAATTTTTATCTGGACTCTGACAGTTACCTAAATCGGAAGCATTATAGCAAGAATTCAAAAGGTAGTTCAACAGGTCGTTTACAGAAAAGGTAATGCAAGACATATCAGAATGATTTTCACATTTGGCCAATATTAATAAATGCACATTCACTTCTGCACATCGGCAAAATTCCCACTGAGACAGACCTACATTCTGCTCTCTTTATGGCATCATTATTCAAATCACAACACTCTCAATGGCCAACAGTGTCACTGCAACTAGTTCACTGATAACTTATTGTGGAATAATTACTGGAGGTAACTTAAAAATCAGAAAACGGCTGTGTTCACACACTAGAGAAAGGTATAATGTCAAAGAAGATTCCAGGAGAAAAATCCAACTGGTATGTGAAGAATCCTCTCCAAGGTTGTCTCCTGGAGAGTAAGGTTCTTGCATATCAATACGGGGAGTGGGGAAGAGTGAAGATGCTAGACAAGACCTGTAATCACTGCAGAAGAGATGCACGGGCGCCAACAGGCTGATATGCTATCTGTTCATGACACTGGACTGACCATCTGACACACTTTCATGGACCGTGAATTATAATAACCCAAAAACATACCTCTGGCTCACTGACCACCCCCACTGCCTTCCCGCCCCCACCTTCCACCTTACTGAGCATACACTCAAACTTTTGGTAACTTCTACCTTAAAAGGGAAACGGAAGTGTTTTCACCAATCACGGTAAAAGTATGACTAGAGTCACTCAAGCTCAACCTTGAAGGTAAAAAATACTATAAAAATGGCCCAAAGAAAGGGGGGGAATTAGGGAAGATACTACTGCAGACCTCTGACCTCTGGGACCAGCTGATGGGCTAAGCCTCTCTTCCCCCCCACAGGGATGCCTTTGGGTAAGATTTATACTGCCCCGAGAACTTTCTTGGGAACTTGAGATCTCTATAGAATTGCTTTTTTAACTTAGCGCTTTTCAGTAACTTGTAACCTTAATGCTTGTATATACCTCTACAGACAGTAGATTATCATGGGCAACCCACACGCATCTGTATTATTCTTGTTGCTTTATTAAAGTGCCTTATTTGCTTATTGACTTGCTGCACAATTTCGCGCTGCCTGATGAGGCTGTAAGCGTCCAGAGATGGTGACTGGACAGCAGGTGCTGGGCACTATCAAGTGAATCCAGAATTAATGCACCCGAACTTGTAGTGCCACACTGAACTGTGTCTGTCTGTAACCAGCCACACCAACCCCCCCGTGACCAACAGGATGCTGCTAAATTCTGTGGGTTTAGCTGTGTGAGCCATAAATCGTGGGTACAGGAGTGCAGCGCACTATCGAGTGAATCCGCTGTTGTTGGACTCATAGTACTAAATTGGGCATCACTCGGGATCTAAGCCTAGCCGCTCCCAGCTCCTCCAGTTATCTGAGGGTAAGCTGGAATGCAAGGGAGTTTATTTCCTGCTAAATTGCTTTACCACCCCTTTCACACAACACTTATTTTAGACAGGTTATGGACAGACATATTTTTGCCATAATCCTGTTAGGATAATCTGGTTTAGGCAAAGGATGATTACCAATAAGAGACAGCCTTCACTGAATCATTGGGTTTGGGATACCAGCAGACAACAGGCTGGAGGAGAGAGGGAAGTATCTGATTCACAGATTTGTAGTGGAGAGAGTCTGAACTGTTTGTACTGTGCAGGTCTGGAACAGATAGAGCTAACCGATGTACCAAAGAAGTGAAATGGAGGGACAGCCATTGGAAAGCATGCTCCTCTTTCAGGACACAAAACAAACAGGCAAAATGGACTTGCAGGTATCAACCAAGTGAGTACTAGCAGCCACCTACTGTTGCCCAACCATATACCAGGAATTAGAGTACACCTATTATAAGAAAAGAAATGATTTCAGGAAAAGAAAGCAGACAAAGGCTTACAGTGCATTTTCATTGACTAATGGCACGGATCCAAACTAATTTAATCCTCCACGTTTTTAAGAGTTCTATTTTTACAGAGTAAGAAAATACCTAGAAATAAGAAATTTGGAGTCCATAATCATTAACATTTCTAGCAAAATCCCCATCCAGTCTAATTTGGAGCTCTGATACTAATTCAGTTACTAAAGAGGGATAATTGCCAACTCAGCATACAGCTTGTAAGAGCACATGGCAAGTGTAAGGATAAATCAAGAGTTCTCAATAGACTCGGGCTCTCCTAACAAGCTCTCTCTCACCATCTAGTGGCCTTTCACCCTCTCCAGGACATGAATGGAATTTTTCAGAGCACAGATAGGTCCTTTACATAAACTTAAATCTTTTGTGTTTGCCATTAAAGATTGATATTTTATTTTATTTGGAAAAATGACACTCTAAGAATATGCCAAATATATCCAAATGGAGTCTGTACACCCATGGATAGAAAAGTACAGGTTGATTAGGATTTGTTCCCATTTATCAGTTCTTTTGAAGACAATTTTCTTACTTTTTTCCTTGTTTTAACAGCAAAGATAAGCAACATTTGTCCTGCTTCACATAAAGAGATTTTAATCTTTTCTAATTTTATCACAATAGACCTACTTTGGTTATCAAAGAACCTTTAAAAAGATCACTTAATTATGAAGAAAGGGTTGTAGTACACAGTATCTTAGAAATACTGGTTGGAAGGGGGCATTTTAGACAAGCTGGGTGACTCCAAACAACTGCTCCTTCACAAATTTGTAAGGAATTCTCTGAATGATCAGTTACATTTTGTCCTGGGCTTTCTGGTAATGCTATTATCCCATTCATCAATCAGATACCAATGAGTTTACAATCCTGTCAACCACTTATCATGGAAAAGTCTTAAAATATCCTATAGGGAGTAAAGCACGAAATCTACAATAAGCTACATAAACCTTTTTAAGAAAGTTGGTTTTACAACAGAACAGTAGATCCAAAAACTTTATTCCTTCATAGCACACCTTAAGATTGTTGCTGTCTCTAATTCTGTTATTGGGTTATTCAAATACTGAGACTACTGTAGATACTTTATCTTCTATAAGTCATCGTGAACAGCATATTTTTTGGTACATACACTATTACTGAGTTCCTACAACCTCTGTCATATATGCAGGAGATCTCTCTGCTTGGGATCACCTTAAAAGGCTCCACAAGGATTATTTTCTCTACCCACCACCTCCACCCCCAGAAACTAAAATCTTACTATTCCCATGAAAAAATTCTGTATTTCTGGTGATCATTCATTCATTCAGCCTGTCAAAAAGCACAGCATTTGTCACATGTTGTAATGTATTCATGACTTCATTGCAACTCCTGAATATGTATGACACCATGAGTGCTTTTACTACCATGTTGTAATAAATTCTAGACAGTTCATGTAAAAGTATCATTCTCACCAAAACCACAATGCTCATCTATGAACAGATCCAAGAATGTAACATAAACAACACTGTACTAAACTAATGTTAGCAAGGTATTCACTTTCTCATCTCAAACACCATTGCTATTTACTCATCAAATCTACTGGGTTTCATTTAACAGCATGGGTGTGAATCCACTGAAATACACTGGAAGATTCATCAGCCCTAGAGCGACATACTGATCAGAAATACACACTGAATTCACCCCCATGTCCAGTCCCTCTCATGTTACAAATGCAAAAATGAATGCAGAATACAGAAGCAGTTTCAGGATGATTAGCCAGGCTTAAAAACAGGACCCTTGAAATTAAAAAATAGAAGAAAAATTACAACATATTTAATCTAAAACTGAAGGAATTAAACCAGTACTCTGATATTACAGGTACCTAACTGTAAACAGACTAAGAGAAACTTAAGAATTTTATGGAATTACTTGTTGAATGAAGGAGGCCCAAGTTTACATTTAATACAGGACTAAGGATAAAAATACAGATATGAAAACCAGTAGGATTTGAACTACTACTCGCTTTGTCATTTTTTCAAACTAATATTTAAATAAGAGAAAAACAAAAACGAGTAGTTTTATCCTAATGTTCATTGCTTACCATGAAGGGATAATACAATTTTAAGTCATTTCATGAGGAAAAGCATACTTTTTTCCAATGGCTGTCTCTGCATAGTTCATCTTAGAATAAGGTTAGTCAATGTTTTCAAGCTTTCTTTCATTCTTTCATCACTAATAAGAGATACAAAAGACACCGGTGCCAAAGTTGACAGTTCCCAGAGAATATTGTGCAAACACAGAGCTCAAGTGCCTGGCTCTGAGCAGACATAAGTAATCTGTCAGTGACAGAATCGAAGTGTTAGATCACCACTTTATTGCTTCCAAAAGATATAAAATAGAAACCAACTGATCCCCAGATAGCCCTATATAAAAGAATTTTTATTTCTATTAGGTAAGTGCAAAATCATCCTTCCTCCACCTCCCCCCCAATAAGGAGTACATGAAAATAGCAGTTGATGACTAGAAATGTGTCTCAGAAGAGTTATGTAAAGAATTAACTTACCCATCTACAAGTCCATGCTGCAAAATAAGTCTCTGAGCCTCTTCTCTTGAGATTTTATGATGAAACCATGACTGAGACCTGTGTATAGCTGTAGAAATAAAGATCTTTTAAAACATTTTGCCTTTATTGAAAGAATCAGCTATTGCATTTCTCCGGCAATGAATTAACTCACACATACCCATGTTAGACATGGCAATAGGACTCCCATGTGAGTTGAGTCGTAAACACCCTCTCTTCTGTATGAGAGAGAAGTAAAAACATTATTTTGAAGCTTTTTTGTTTAAAAGAAAAAAATTGGAAAATACTATTCTGATAAAGCAAAGACGTTTATACCCGCCATGCTAATCCTTCTTCAACTGCAACTGAAAGGGCTTCTGTTGGATTTTCTATAATTCTGCTTCTGTGTCCTGAGAAATCCATTGCTACTAAAGAATTTTCTGAAATGCTTCTCTGCAACAAAGAAAAATAAGTTTAGTTTGTTCATTTTTTAAAAGATTCAACATTTAAAGGAGAGTTTCTGATAAACCATTATGTTTTGTAAGTGGTATTTCAAGTATCTGCAGTGTTTCCCATCAAAGCCAAACTCATTTTACCCTAGGGAGCATTTGTAATTCCAGTATGTTACTGCAAAGCTCAATTTTACCGTCTGAAAGGACGGATCATCTTTTTGCATTACTGCAATGGATGATAAATACATAGCTTTACCATAAACTCTATTTATATTTTTAAATATAACTAGCCAAAATAAGTCAGGAAACTGTAACTAAGTTGTCCAAGTATCATAAAAAAGATAAAATACAAAATTCTTGTACATAACCATCAAATTAATGAAGATTTGAAATATTTTGCTATCAATATGTCATAAATTTATATATTTTCTATATAAACTTTCACTCAAATTTCACTGGATTTAAACACTGAAAACAGTCATTTCTATGGTGTTTAACTTCTATTTTAATACAACCCTTCTAACTCTTACCACAGACTCAACAACTGCAGGATATGTTATAAAAAATGCTTGTTTTTTTCTACAAAGATCAGTTTGTAACAATAGAATAAAAAGCACTGAAGTTCAACAACCCAGTCTTAAAACTCACCAAAATACTACTCAGTAACCAAGGTTTACAAAATCAAGTTTAATACAGATTACAATGGCTCAAATGTTGCCAGGCACTGGAATATCAAATAATTAAAAGAATATTCTTTTTATTAGCATTCCATAAGTTAAAGTAACATCTGGAACACAACAGGCCCAGATTTCTGCAGGGTTGGCAAAGCTTCCCAATCCAAAACCAAAGCAGCCCTGTTTTGTTTGGTTAGAAGCACAAATATAAATAGAAATGGAAGACAGCAATTCTGTAGTTCACTGTAATTCTTGACACTGTAGTCTAAGGTTTGTCTGAGTAACTGTAACCTGTAAAGAACTTTGCAAAAGTGAAAAAAAACCAAGAGCAAAATAAAATAAAATGTTTGCCTCTAGGAGAGTGGAGGGAACTCCTGGTAGCTGATGTGGCTGTGAGTTACTGAGGAATGTGAAACATGGAAGTGGTTCCCCTTCAAAGTATGTTCATTAGTCTGTATGCTTAATTCCCAAGTTTATCCAATTAGATGCTTAATTAATGAGTTATATACAAGTAGAAAAACAGTGCCATGCTTAATACTCGTTACAGATTCTGCCTGTGTTAGAAGCTACATAAGCTAAAATGCAGGGAACAGTATAAGAGGAGAGAAAATCAGTAATGGCTCCCAGACCTCTTATAAAAGCAGCAGCTGGCTATTGTAACAGCTTCACATAACAGAAAGTAAAGACACAGGCAATGTACTAAGCACAATCTTGAAGCCATGCTTACTAACAATATAACTGAAAACTATTTTTGTGAATACCTATAACAGCAAATGTATATTTTAGGCATTTTCACAGCAAGAATTACAATAAAAGCTCAAAAAATCCACCATAAAGTCACTGTCACAAGTCCTGGCAACAAGTAATTTTACCCAAGTTAGCCCAGAAAACCCACAAAAGTTATATAAATCATCCATGAAAAAGTCTGAAATCGAATGACTCACAAAGAACTGGGATAACATAAGGTATTAAAGAAAGGACAACCTGATCTAATCTCAACCATCTGACTGAGATGGACACAGCATCTAGTATAGGCTGTTGTTCCCCCAAAAACCCAGTTCTTCCAAATTATGATGTTCCTCTGAAGTCCATTATTACACTATCTGAAATCAATCTTAAGTACCTAATATTTTGTTAAAAAAAAAAAAAATCTGAAGTATTACTGTATACTGAAAAGTATTTGTTATAGCTTTCTTATTGATCACTTACAGCATGTGTAAGCTTAAACACTTTGCTTCTTTTACAATGCATTTATAGTTCTGTTTCTCTGCTTCCAAAATCCTCTTTCTATTCATTTTGACAGTCATAATAAGCCAATGAACTCCCAAAATACCAGAAATTTGACAAAGGGAAAAAGCTACCCAATTCATATTAAGTAAACTAATTAATTAGGTCTCTAGTCAACCCTAACAGCCCTAAAGTTTTCTGCAAGCATTCGCATGTGCTAAGACTTGCAGGATCAGTTCAGTAGTATAGCTGAAACAAGTTATTTAAAAATAACATGATGGCAGGAACAATGTCTTTATTCATGGAGCTATGGTGGGACATACCATAGGTGTTACATTCAAAGGGCTGCAGCCACTTCTACCTTGATACAGTTGCATGTAATTCTGATACAGCTGCATCCCATACTAAAACCAGAAAATAATATGGTTAGCATTTCAAATTATAAACCTAAGCCAAGTAATTTTTTTTCAAGATGTAAAAGATATCACATGCCTTTCTTTACTATTAAAAACCAGGGACAAATGCTGTTATGACAAGGAAATGCACATCATCATTGTTGCTGCTGCCTTTATGAGTACACTCATACTACCCATTTAAGACACCAATTGACCTATTTTTATTTTGTCACAAATAGTCACATTTGAAAAACATATTAAAGCTTCCTTCTTGTACATTCTTATAGCTTTGTTCAACATTATTCAACAATCTCACTGAATTCAACACAGTTACATATAATTACATATAAGCATATGCTTAATGTTAAGTGTAAGTATTTGCAGGATGCTTCAAGACATCAACCCACCCCCTACAATGATTCCAGTAATTTGGTCTCTCTTGTTTGCTGGGATGAAGGAAAATAAACTTTGAGAGTATAAACCTGATATTACTATTGCATTGGAACCTAGAATTATGTTACTTCTCTACCTTACTGTACTAAAATTTCACATAGTAAACTTCATCAAGAAGTTAAATCCACTAAGAAAAATTACCTTAAGCAACCTAACTGCTGTCATCCAACAGGTCCTACTTTGTTCATCATCGGCACAGAGCTGTTTCAGGTCTCTGGTTCCTCCTGATTTGTTAGGCTAGAAGGCCACAGCACATTTTTTTAGCATTAATGCATATCTTGAAGATAATACCTGTTGAAATAAAAGCCACTAATTCTCCTATTTTATAAAAGAAAGCTGAATATAGTTTTCAAAAACCTTCAAGAAACTTAAGCTTACCTAAAAACTGTGGCCTGCTTTAATACGTATCAGAATAATAAGCTTGTACCTTAAAGCAGAATCCATAGTTTGTTGGTGCTCCAGAAATCTTTTTGCTTGTCGAAGACATGTACATATCACTATTGCTGAATTCACAGAAAAACTGCAGATGCCTTGGCTCCTAAAAAAAAAACAAAAGGCAATGTAATACAGTTAGCCTATTTTTAGGTAGACTCTCTATATAAGAAACTCAGAAAAGTATAGTAGTTATCCTGTTCCAAAATAGTCTTACATACTGCAGTTTTAACTGTGACACTGTGAAATCTAGAGACAACTCAACATTAAGTTTATGATGCAGAGAAAAAACATCTCAAACTAGTCAGAGTTCATTCTTCTAGAGAGGGAGAAAAAACAAAGTGTGAGTGATATAATTTCTGGCAAAATATCCACTAAATTCAAACTTCAAATGCACTTCAAACATCTAAATAAAATATACTTTCTTAATCTGAAAAAGAACATACTCTAATTATTACTGTTCAGTACTATTTCTAACCATTACCTTCATACTCTAAGGTTAATTAAATCAAGGAAGCAAACAAAAGAAATTTGCTGAAGGATACAAAAACAGCTCAATGAATACTCTTGGCTGTTAACACAGAAAATTCAGAACAAGAAAAACATTGTTTTAAATGGTTTATGTAAAAGGTGCTTCAACTCCTGCGTATCCTGTTTAACATAAGTATTGCCATCAAAAAGTTGAACTAGTAAAATGAAAAACTGTCCAGTGACAAAATATGAGAATTCTCAAAATCTTCCTGTAAAATCCTTTTATACATAAGTTTTTGTTTATTTTAGATAATGAAATATTATGTCCACCTTTCAGAGCATCTACTTATACTTCAGAATTTTAACTACTATTTGAAAATTCATTTGGAAAGGCCACTCTGTTAATGGATTGGAAAAATATTAGGCAGAATAAAGTTATTAGGCAAAAATAAACTACCATTTCTAAGACAATACTTTCCCAATTTTGTATCTCAATATCTCTCTAGTTTCTATCTATAATAAATATTTTATTTATTTTTTACATTTTATCACTGTAAGTTGAAATTCAGATTTTGGTTATTATTACAACAAATGATAAATACATACAATTTTGCTCTAAATTCATCGTTTTGTTTTATAATTCCCTTACCTTAGATGTACCTTTAGTGGAAAAATAAAGGCCAGATCTTCTCAAAACAAAGTACAATTTTTTCCATGATTTTTTTCCCTGCTCCTTTGCATGCAAATAACCATGAATCTCAGGATACGTGCTGGAGCTTAGGAACATCTGAAAAAAAAATACCAGACAGGCATTTTTCTTTTCATCTGAAACCAACTTTCTGTTTCATTAACATACTCAGACAGGACCAAGGGGAATAAACCCCCAAATGCACTATCACACCACAGTAATTCAGTTCTGATTGCATGTAATATCATTCAGAGTACCTCTAATTTGAGGCACTTAGAATGTTACACAACACCAAAGTATGCTGAGCAAGTTACATATTTATATGGAACATATGGTTTGAAATGAGAACATTAGTTATGCAATATGTTGACTTTAGCAACAAAACCAGTGTAAGAAGTTCTGATCCCATGCCTCAGAGCCTATTTATATAAAACTGCAAATCAGTGCTACCAAAAGAAGAAAAAAAGAAATATCCCTCCCTGCCTCCTGTGTTGCAAACCAGATAAGGGAACTGATCTGAGTTAAAAATTGCTCAGCAAACAAATCACAAGATCTAAATCACAAAACCATGCAGGTCAGGCAGATATTACCATTTTCAAAAGGAGGGAACAAGGGTCACAGGACCTGAAGCAGTGCTCAAGTAGGAACTTTAGGAGCTTTAGTTGAACCAAAAACAGGAGAGGCTGGGCCAGTCACCAAGACAGCTCCTGTCTGTGCTCAAGGTCACCTGGCAGAGTATTGAAAAATGCTGCATCAGGAGGAAGAAAAGAGGACTTAAATGTCCCAGAGATCAGCCATTTTGCCTCCAGAACTGCAAGAAAAAGGCATGCACCCTCATGAGCCATAAAAAAGGCAGAATGATAGACAGAGAAGTCATCTAATGCACTGAGAGAAGCTAACTGATGCACTGCCTCTACTCAAGGTATTCAATGGCTTCTCCTTAGATTTTTCAATCAGGCATTGTCAAGAGTGAAACACAGTGGTCACCTTGCAAAGACCAAGTCTTACTCAGTCTGCAAAAGTGCCCAGTAAAAGCTGGCAACTGTGATAACTTTATTCTAATTCCATTCAACGCATACATTTTTATTACTCTTCTTCCAACAAAACTACTCAGAACTATGACTCATATCTAAACAGACTAACCTAGAATTCTTCAATTTCCATACATGCAAAGGAACCTGTGTTGTTACTAAGCTCTTCAAGGAACCTTGCCCCAGACTGGCCTGCAGAATCATAAATACTGCCTAGGCTTATATAATGGTAGAGGACAAAGGATTTTCTGGTTGATATCTGCAGCTTTCATTGCTGCATCTTCCTCCTGTTCACTCGTGAAGTGAACATGATTTTAGAAGTACACAAATTTCTTTGGCCACTAAATAATGCAGTCCAACCAAGAAATACAAGGTGTCTCTCATTTTTATTGTTTTCCTACCTTGCAGTCAGATGCATGATTGTATCACCTGTAGACCATCCTGAGCTAACTAAATTCAGCTGGTGTGAATGCAGTAACATGGGCAGGCTTCATGTGTCAGGGGAGCGCTGCAGCCCACAACTAGGAATGCATTATGAATAGCTTCACCACTATTCACCTGAACAGTTAAATTACAGCAAGACTAGGTCCATCTATCTACATGTGCTGCTGGCACACAACTCTGTATGAATGCAGTTTAAGCTGTTTCAGCCACACCGAAGCGGATGAGTAGTTCCTGGTAGGTGTTCCAGCCTGTTAATCTTCCCATTTGCCACATACTTAACAGTATTTCTTCTCCATTGATGGTGAATATAAAGGCTGCATTGAAAAAGTATTTTAACTCCATGAACAAGTCAAATGTATGTAAAGCCAAAACAAAACAGCATTTTTTTTAGGTGTTAGTATCTCTACTGAAGATTAAAGGAGTGTCTGGCTCCCAGCCTGTACAAGTATCTTCCCCAGGATTTCTGTCGTAAGAGCTTCAAACCAAACGTGCTGTCATGAAAAATGCTTTTCTTACTCAGCAGGCAAAGTGGCGGAGCAATACAAAGCTCAGCTCCAACAGTCACTGGTTTTCCCTATGCTATCAATTAAAATAAAAGAGCATTAATGCTAGGAAAAAAGACAATCTTCGATCCATCTTTTTCTTTCTAAAATACCTGAAGATTGTGTGAGAAAACATAATGTGAACAAGCTATAGTCAAAGCCATTAACCATCACAAGGAATGAACAGTAAAAATATTTCAGAGTGAGAACTGATTGTCTGCAAAAAATACCCAAAAGTAAAGATAGTAGAAAAGATAACTTCCTTGGGTTTTTTTGTTGTGGGTTGGTTTGGTTGGGTTTTTTGGTTGTTGTTTTGGTCTGTTGGGTTTTTTAATAGAAGCACATGCAAGTTTATTATTTACCTGTTTATGCAGATAAGAGATAATCAAATTAGGACGAAAATAAGAAAAATAAGAGAAGTTTTTAATATAGGAAGAAGTGGGGAACAGTTAAATTATGGTATGTTGCAGACAAGGATTACTAGTCACACAATATGCAGAAATAAGCTTGCACCCTCTCCCATATGCAGTGAAATATATAATTTCGTATGTAGGGTGGTGACAAATGTTGCCATGTCTTTCAGATACTAACATATGACAGCACCAAGGACTCTAAATGATTTCATTAGATGTAAAACTAATCAATTTAAAACCAATCTGAACAAAAATGTGCGCTTGCAGCCCAGAAGGCCAACCGTATCCTGGGCTGCATCAAGAGAAGCGTGTCCAGCAGGTCGAGGGAGGTGATTCTGCCCCTCTACTCCGCTCTTGTAAGGCCCCACCTGGAGTACTGCGTCCAGTTCTCCGAGGGCTGGAGCACCTCTCCTATGAGGACAGGCTGAAAGAGTTGGGGCTGTTCAGCCTGAAAAAGAGAAGGCTCCGGGGAGATCTTATAGCGGCCTTCCAATACCTGAAGGGGGCCTACAAGAAAGCTGGGGAAGGACTTTTCATAAGGGCAACTAATGACAAGACAAGGGGAAACGGGTTTAAACTGAAAGAGGGGAGGTTTAGATTAGATATTACGAAAAAGTTCTTCACTGTAAGGGTGGTCAGACACTGGAACAGGTTGCCCAAGGAAGTTGTTGATGCTCCCTCCCTGGAAGTGTTTAAGACCAGGCTGGATGAGGTTTTGAGCAACCTGGTCTAGTGGAAGGTGTCCCTGCTGATGGCAGGGGGATTGGAACTAGATGATCTTTAAGGTCCCTTCCAATCCAAACCATTCTATGATTCTACGAAAAAAACAAAGCAAATAAATCTTTTGTTGAAAAAAAAAACCCCAAACCAACAAATTAATCAACAAGTGAAAAAATAACAGAACAGGAAAAACACTACACTCTCTCAGATTAATATACTAATAAAAAAAGCAGAAATACTAGATGTCACTGAATGCAATAAAGATTGAGAGCTGCATTCCTAACTACACAACTTACTTGTCTGCACCTTCAACATTTTCAGTGAAAGAACGACTGCAGTAGCAGGGACAACATTTACTAAGGTGGACACTTCTCAAGCCCTTACACACTATTTTGGAGAGTTAAAGAAGCCATATTTTTCTAAGACTCTGTAAATCAAGTTTGAATTCGATGACTGATTTTTTCAAAGATGTGATAACAGCCAGACATGATCCAGCCCAATGCTACTGGTACCTCTGCCTATCACTAGACATGGGCATACAGTGATGTGTCTCAGAGCAGTCACACTCTAATCAATACAGTGACATACTTCTTTTTTTTAGGCCAAAAATCTTCATGGCAGATATTAAGCCTCTTTCTTTGGTATACGTAGACATTTGATATATGTCAGACCTAGTAACTTTACTTAGCATATGCAAAATGGATAGGAGACTGGTAAACTTTTTTTTGTTGTTTTGAGGCTATTTAGATGCTCTGATTTTAAAGTTCTCAGGCAAAATACTCCTTCACTTTCAATAAAAGTCAAGAAAAACATACCTGAAAAACATTTTACTTGCTCTTGCTTACAGCTCAATCTACAAAATGCTATAAAAGTGTAAGAAGCTATTTTTTAGTCGCTTGTAAGCATTGAGTTGTTAAAATTAATGTCTCTCTTGATACTTGACCAGGTACATCACAAATAATAATGCAAGCCCATTAACTTGTCTTAATGAACGTTTTCAAGGAAATAGTGACACACTGTAAACAATTTACTCAACAGCTTCTGCTGAAATGTGCAAAAACAGCTGCACAATCCACAAAAGTATTCTCTATTTTGTCCCTAATAAGTTTTATTTGATGAAATACAAATAAACAGACAATACAACACAAAATAGCAACAGAGGAGAGTTCTCGACATTTTTTTCAAGCTATCAAAATGGGATGTAACTATATATTTAGAATGATTCATAATCTTACCCACAAGCTCTGCACATGTTCTGCATATCACAATATGGGCTTAAGGAAGTTCTACACAAGAGTATAGAGCAAATAGTTCCCTTATAAAAGTCTTTCATTTTTTTTTTTCAAACTACCAAACTACATTTGCAAGTGAAAAAATATTAAGATCTGTTAACAAAGGCGACAAGATTTTCTACATTAAAGGTTTAAGTTAGACTGCAAAATCTATTTGCTATTTAGGTAGCAAAAGTGAACCAATTTTCATTAGATATGCAGCACTTTTTGAAATTACGAAGTTTTTATTTTGATTCGTAAAAATGGTTTAGAGAATCTAGCATGTCTCAAATTTAATTTGAAATATTTTTTTACTATATTTGGGATAATCTTAACCTCCTGACTAATATCCACTTCTATAAGGATATAACAATTTAATACAGAAGAATGCTTTGAGAATTAGTTATTTAATGATTTTAATTTCCTGGTGGATGTCAAGGTAGAATTTATTATATAGATGCAAAAAAAATTTCTATATTTCTTTTAGTTTTACCTTAAACATCTTGTGTTATTATGTTGCCTTTAAAATAATTCTTTATGCCCAAACCTCACACATAGGGTTAAGACCAGTAAAAGTTCTTCTATTAATTAATTTTTCTAGTGACAAGCAAACAAGAGTGATGTGTATGTTTCCACCTTTATTACTCATTTTTCCCCTCTTTGAGAAGTAAGAAGATGATCCCTGATATGGTCATTCTTTGAAATTACTCCCACTGTAAATTAAAATCTTGTGTCCGCTTACAAGATGACCAACATTGAGTGACCTACCATTTTTTTTTTTGAAGGCTACAGTAGCCATCAAGCTAACAAATCATACTGGTCAGTCTAAATTTTCTACTCATTAAGTTTAACCATTTAACTCTTTTTTTATCCATTTGTATCACCAGTTCCTCCATATTCTACCAAGGCCTGCTGTAAAGTATGCAATAAGTGCTGCAGCACTCCACCTTTTTAAGGAAATGGGGTCTTTCACCTGAAATACCCAATAAAGTTATTAACCATTTTTACTGCATTCTATCTGTTTTGACACTCCTTGATTCTGAAAGAATGTGCAAGTTTCCAAGTGAGGTCATGCAATAAGTGTCTGGAAGAGACACATCGTATCTCATAAGGGAAAAAAAGTTATTAACATGTTTTGAGTTATTCAAAATGTAGCAACAAATCCAACAGTGACAAAGAGCTATGCTTATACAACACAGACAATGGAAAATTCTGAGATACGCTGGCTCATCTTTATTCAAAGATTACATACCTGTAATATACCAGAGTGGCTTACAGCTGCATTGGTTTCACTTGGAAAAGATATCATGTGATCTGGAAAAAAGCTCTGTAACAATAACAATTTGTATCAAAGTTCCATAAAAATAAATATAAAACTTCCTAACTCCTTTGGACGTAAAATTAAAGTTCTCAATGCAGTGCAAGACACTGCAGATTCTCTGATCCAATAATTTATGCTTACCTTAATATCATTGCTAAATTTGTGATATTCTATATATTATTTGCTGAAAAACGAGAGTTCTGAGAAAACATCAGTGGTCTCTGGAAGCAAGAGGGTTTCATACACCACTGCAAGTCATATTGCAGTACTTGGCCCTTAGTGTTGTTTTTCTAGTAGTAATTTCTATTGCTGTTGACAATGTAAGACTTCCCTGGGGCTTCAATACGCTACAAAGTAGGGAGGATATACACCAACATGCTGAAAAATATATTGTTTTGTATTGTCTTCATTACATTAGAAACCCAGTAAAATATTTTGGAATAACTTCCATTAATAGAGAACAAGTCCCCTCAGTTGTGGTTTTTTTTTGGTTTTTTTTTTTTTTTTGTCTATTTTGTATGATAAGGATATGAATTAAAATCAAAATCTGACTACATCAATACAGGTTAAAAAATCCACATTTAAAGTGCCAATTTCATTATCAAGGAAAGCTCAAGGGGTAATCTATGGGACAGAGATGCAGCTGGGGAGTTCAATATAGTCATGCAGATATGAACCAGCCAAGAGTTTGACCATTACCAATAAAGTTTTCTCAAGGCTTGGTCAAGTTTGAAGCCAATATTCCCTTGACCATCCATGTCCACTGACTTTCATTTTTAATAAAACTGAACTACTGGTAGTGTTAATTCATGGCAGCTTATTTCTGATAAAGCATTCC